CGGTAATCACTCACATTTTGAAAAGCCACTAATGAAAACCGTATAACTTTTTGCTGACAATATGCTTAAACCATCAAAATACAACCCTGTAACTAGCGCAACTGACCCATGGTATGATCCAGCCCTTACACTGAAAAAAAAATCTCTGTGTATTTACTACGAAAATGGTAAAATTACCAAGAATTCAGGGTTCTATTTGATCCCAGTTTTTTCTTGGTAAAATTACCATTTATGGAATTGGTAATTTTGCAGAGAAATATCGGGGAAATTATTGAACTTTCTCGGTAATTTTATTTGACCTTGGTAGAAACGCCAATATCTTTTATCGACGGTGGTAGAATTACCGAGATAAAATGGCAAAGTTACCGGGAATTGTCTACCAATAAAAGTGGTATTCTTACCTTAAAGAAACAGTAAAAATACAGGTTTTTAGGTAAGCTTACCAGTCTGTCTTGGTAAAATTACCAACAATTGGTAAAAAAAGTGAGATGGTAAAGGTACCAAGGGGCCTTGGTAAAAACGACGAGAATTTTTTTTCAGTGTACACTCCTACTGATGCACGGTGCGTTGTGCCCTTCCAACAACGCAACGGTAGTAAACACGACGTGCAAACTGGACGCGAAGCATGGAGTCAACAACTTATAGGTTGCAAGTGTAGCGGCGCTGGCGGTTCAACTTGAAATAGATCGTCCACAGACACGGCGTCGCGCGTCGCGCATAATCCGGAGGCGCGTTCTTGCGAGACGTCATCAGAAGTCTTCGTTTAACGTCCTCATCGTCGCCGATCATGAATGATAATCAAAGTTCAAGTTCAGTAGATAGAAACGGAAAGGACATTAAAACGTCCATTTTCTTTCTTCGCGTGGACTACAACCTTGATCATAATTTAGAATGTTTTCGTGGAGATTTTAATAGTTTTCATTAATTTAATATTACATCTTTTTTTTGGTACTGAATACAACTTTAGATTTTGACCCCCTCCCCCCTCCGCTCGATTGCGGCATACCCATTCGTTTTTTGTATTTTCTATACTTTTTATTTTATCTAAATTCTTAGTTCAGCGCTTTCCTACGTCTGACCTTGGGAAAAAGAAATTAAGTAAAACTCAAGCCTTTCCTATACCGGCAAAATAGAAGAAAATAAGAGGAGGGACAAATAAGAAAAAAAGAAAGGAAAAGAACAGGAGGAATTTAAAACGAAGGACGTCATGACGTCCATTTTCGCTCCACATGGACTGCAACCGTGATCATGATTTAGAATGTGTTCGTGGAGATTTTAATAGTTTTCATTCATTTCATATTAAATATTTTTTCTTGGTACTGAATACAACTTTAGTTTTAAACCCCCCCCCCCCCGATTGCGGAATACCATTTCTTTTTTTGTATTTTTTATATTTTTTATTTCATCTAAATTCTTAGTTCGGCGCTTTTCTTAAGTCTGACCTTGGGAAAAAGAAATTAAGTGAAACTCAAGCCTTTCCTATACCCCAAGAAGCAGTGATCGCGAAAAATAGCGATTTTTTCGGTTGGTTATCGCGATTATATCTGTGGCAATATATCGAGATATTATCGCATTAAAAATCGCGATATACGGCGATTAAATCGCAACAAATTGCAATTTTTGGTTCGATAAAATTGTGATCAATTTTTGTCGATAAAATCGAGATTAAATCGCAGCAAATCGCGGATTTATTTCGAGAATATCGCGATAAATTGTCGGGCGATAAAAGCGCGATTTTATCGCGATATATCCGAGGATAATAGCTCAGATGTTGATGATCCTGGCGATTTTATCGTCGATAAAATCGCAATAAATAACGATTTTTCCGTTGAGAAATGCTACTTGGGACCGGAAAAATAGAATAAAAAAAGAGGAGGGACAAATAATAAAAAAAGGAGAAAAGAACAAGAGGCGTTTTAGAATTGTATGTTGGTGGCGTATGACCCAATAATAGGTCGTCCAGTTGCGCAATGCGCAGAAATGGTACTAAGAAGAATCACGTATTTGATTTGCCGTGTTTCTAGGGCAGCCTTTCGACACTGGTGATTCTTTCTATTCTAGATGCCAGAATTAAAACAATATAAAGGTTCAACTGGAACTTTTGATCTTTGTATGGTTGCTATCATTCTTTTTTATGTGCGGGTTATATGATCTAATAGCACAAAAAAGACTGTGGCATCATCTGAGCATGAATAAAAAAGCGAATTTTAGATGAGGATTTCCGATTAGGAAAAAATTGTCGATAAGTCTTAATGAGATGACGAATTATTACTTCCCCTATTCAGTTATTGGAGTGATTCTTGTGCCGTGAGAAAATGACGAATAATATGTGAGTCAAGGTCAAAACTTACAAAAACAGTGGCACTAAATATTTATCTATTAATTTATGTCGGATTCGACTAAAATTAGCGGCACGCCTGTTTGACGAGGAAAAGTCTGGTTTAAAAAAGACCGAGAATGATACGGAGCCAGAAAGTTTTTTTTCTTAATGATACCTATAATATAATTGCCTATGGACGTTGCAGGGATTTCTATCTTTCCTTAGCCATGCTTGATATGATCAAAGCTGATCTCCTGTTTAACTAGGTTCGCATTTAATTAAAATTGTGTTTTAATTTATCATTGTATTTCAAAAACAAACATTCACTCTAATACTGGTAATATACATAGCAACCATCAATTTTTGTAAAATTCGTCGTCTCCCAGACGAAAGAACGTAACTCCATTCCAAGGTTGCAAAATTGACTCAAACAATTCAATATTGAACAAGAATAGACCTGTTCAATTTTTGTCAAAATTTGGTCTGATTTTCGCATAAAATCAGAAGAAAAATTGGTGAATTTTTGAGTCAGAAATGCCCGAAATTCTCCTGGTCGAAATGCAATCTGTGCAAGGAAATTTGGCAACATTGAAATGCAGTTACGTTCCTTCGTGCGGAGAACGACGAATCAGGGAACATTTGTTCAAAATTTAACTCTGTTCGACCCTTTTATGCATTTTAGTTATTCTTAGATGGACATGTTTATAAAAATTGTGGCTACATCGTTTTGGTAAGGCTATATTTTAGAAATTTATGATTCAAGGGCAGACCAACCCCACCAGGCATTATATGGGCAAACAGTGAAAACTATAGGCACAGAAAGGCTGGCAAGAAGATACTGCACCCCCCCCCCCTTCCGCCTGGGTGCGAAAGATAGCCAGGAAGGGCGTTGGTGCCAAACCGCTCGGGAGATTTTCAGATGGAAACCTCCTAACTATGCACGAAATGAAGAATGAAATAGAGGGATAACAAAACCTGCTACAGAGTAGGGGACCTTGCTCGCTTGTTTGGTTGAGTATTCTGCCGTGCTAAGTAAGAACACCGTATGAGCCATCAGTCGTTGCCAAATTTCCTTCGAAAAACAACGAATTTTCAGAAAAAAATTCGAATATTACTTCTCCGATTTTTTGGAGGATTTTGTTCGATATTTGATATAAGTCCGGAAAGAAGGAAAAATATTTACAACTTCCTTCAAAAATGGATATTTTCTGAGAGGAAATTTGGCAACATTCGAATGCTCATACGGCCTTCTTCCTCAGCACGGCAGTATTGGAGATACAGCGCTGTCAAGCTCTACTATCTGAAGACTCTTTTTTTCTAACGTTGCGTTAAAGTCTCCAAAATGTACTCAAGGTTAGAAACCTTGTACAACCCTGTTTTTTTCTGCGTGAGGCGATACATCTTTACAGAAGACTCCTTCTTTAACATTCTGCGTTAAGTCTCCAAAAATACTTTGGATACGATGTACATATTCCGAATACAAAAGATGTATTTTTTCGCGTCAATACTCGCGTTCGCTCCAGATTCGCTACCTATCAATGATGCCTGTAAAACCACCGGAGACAGTTATATTAGATTTGGGTAAGAAAAACGAACAAATGCACAGAGGCAACCAGCTAAGGAGCAATTACTTCGTAGGTATAACTGAATGTAGAAAAATGTAGAAAAATAGATAATAGATAGATATAGATATAAATAGATTCCTTCATTTTTTCCTTAAATTAGAGCGGCAAGAGCGTTAAAAAACGGTTCTGTGACGAGCGCCACTTACGCATAACAGCACGATGCCATGAAGGCATTTATTTTCCGTTAGAGGGTGGAGGGGCGAGGAAGTGAAATTTCAAAAATAGAAACCGAGAGTATTGTTGCTATGTAAGTGCAATTATTGTGCACCGCCTTTATGTTACACGAAACCTGAACTTGTAACCGATTTCTATCTGCACACAAAACAAGTTTAAATGACGTAAGAATAGAGTAAATCTGTTTTATTGACCTACTTTAGGTTACTTTACGTATGGAAAGAAAAAAGTCACGAATTTTTCGCGACCGCAACATTGCAGTGCCATTTATTCAGTTTTAAAAAATACAGTTTATTTGAAAGAAAATTTGAAGTTTAGTTCCAAATTCTCATCCAATTAGATGTGCATTTGGTTCCTCTTGCAAAAGACAGTTAATTTTGTTGTAAAAACACGGGGAAGAACATGACAGGGGTTATCCCTAAAATTGTGGTACTACTCCAAGGTTGCTGGATCATATGGGCATTTCTAAGTATTTATGGTGGTAGAGCAATATTTGGGTTAGTAGCCTAATTTATTGGGGTACTACCGCAATTAATTGAAGATGCACTTATCATCCAATAACCCCTACTTCTTTTTCTTCGTAGAAGAGAAAAAAAGGGGGGAAAAATCAAGTCGCAGAATCTTATCGACATTGCGAGTTCTATTTTGTAAAATACGGTCCATTTTATTCTAGAGAACAATATCGCAAAATCTAACCAACAGTGCATTGCTTTTAGCTCTATTCGCAAAAAGCAGCTCAATGTCGCGGAATAATAGATATTATGAGGGAAAAACTTGTTTGCCACGCATTTCTCTCCCCGGCGCGAGGTGCGACATCTTTCCACCTCGGTGAACGAGATTGGCAATAAAGAGTCTTGTCTCGCTGCATGTGAGCGACCAGCCAGGAAGGGGGAGGGGGGTGAACACTCCCGCGCTCTCGTATCCAGCCCGCAACATCCAGTAGTTTCGTTACTACAAGCAACAAAAAAACCGACTCCTAGCCAGGTTATTCTTCTTCTCGGCATTTTTCATCGGTATTTTTTTCGCGAGAAAGGAAGCCGGTAAATTGACGCCTATATGATTCAAGTTCAGGGGCGCGATGGTTTCAGAGGTTCAGTCGGTGAGTGCGAGTGGCGGCGTTTAGGACGATATTTTGGCGATTTGCCCAACGGCTCACGTGCTCTTCCTAGTCACTGGGACTAGTGTTTTTGGAATTAGCAACGATGAAAAGTGTGGTGATAGTGCTTATCAGTGGTTTGATATGTCAAGTTTTCGCCTCGTTCCCGTTCCTCTTAGCGCCGCGGTCGGCCGGTGTGTCCAAAAAGTGCAGGATCCAAAGTGAAATCTACGCGCAGTCCTTGGCTAATTTGACCCAATGGGCCGTCAAAAGTAAGTTCGACGTCAACATTTGAACACATTTCGACGGTGTAAGTCGGCAATCACAGAATTCGGTTTGCGATGTCGCAGACTTCCTGCCATACTTTATTTTTTTTAACGAAAAACTGCTTAACGGCAATGTTTTTAAACTGACGTGATATTTCTTCTCTGTGCGAAGAAAATTCTGCAAATACTTCAAGGAATGATGTCAATTTGATCTCCTTTAAAAAATAACATAGAGGCGGAGATTTTCAGACACCGCAAATGAGATATGGGATTGCGAACTTACGCCGTCGATTTCTCGGCTTACCTACTTACAGATTCCAGATAGATTTTAAAATATTTCGTTAAAATAAATAGAAACTTCCGACTATTGCTCACTGACCTGAAATTTTCCTTGGGACGACGGGAATGTTATTTAAGGGACTTGGAGGATACGGCGCAAAAGCGCAGTTTTTGAAAAACTTGAGATTTTCATAAATTCAACTAAAACTAGTTTAAAAGTTTATTCTGTGAAAAATCCACAACCGAAATCAAACTTCACAGCATCAAAAAGTGAGTTTAAAATTCCTTTCCGCCAGAAGGCTCCATGTAATTTTAAAACTTTAAGCACGTATTTCTCGAAATAGCAAAAACTGCACTTACACGCTTTGTCCTCCGAGCCCCTCATTTGTACCTGTGTGATACGGAACATAATTTTTTAATTTACCGATAGGAATATCGAAGAATAACAATACCATACTGGAAGTCTCTGTAGGACGGCCGGAATCATGTCATATTCTTTTTTTTTTTTTGGATGACAGAGATTCTTGTTACGACAACAAGAATCCGTTCATGACCATGAGAAACCGAATTTTTTCGAAAAATTTAAATAGAGACGAATAATATGTATTAAATGCTCGTTTTGATCCAAAACGAAAAGGTTGATGGTCGTTTTTTGACCACGAACGTAGAGTTTAATGGCCAGAATAAAAACTTTCTTATCTCTATTACGGCAAATGACAAACCCCTTATATGTTTTTATTGGTTTTTTTTTAAAGAAACTAATTAAAATATATCCTTGATCCTTTCTGAGAATGTTCAACCGACTGAAGAAAATTCAGAGAAAATTTCAAGAAAAACCAATGATTGGTTTTTTTTTTAAACGATGAAACACAAGCAAAGATGTGTTTCCTTGCTTTCAATCGGAGGTATACATTTTACGACTGCAACGATTAACAGCAATTAATACAGATAAAAAAGTTTTTATGTGAATTTTAAGACTCAGATCAATCTGCTATGTTCTTTCATTTTACCATCGATTGCCCTTACGAAGAAAATCATCTCAAAGATTGATACTAATATTGCAATTTTACCATCATAAGTAGCTTATCAGCACCAGCATCAACTCGCAAGTCATGTAAACTCTCCGACCAAAGTGTGTGTTTTTTACGATCACTTAAAAGTCAAGACGTCGTGATCCTCGAAAATAATTGAAAGAGCAAAAACTATCTCTTGACGTTTTACACAGTTTATTCGAAGTCGGAAAACATGTTCAATGAAAAATTACCATTACGTATATCACTGCCTCAATGGATATCATCGCACTAGAAAATACTAAAATTTGTGAGGCAACTATTCCTCATTTTTTTAAAAAATGTTTCATTTAATTAAAAGAGTCGTGAAGGTTATCTAGTTAGTGTTTCAAAGTTTCTAAAAATTTTCATGACAAATCAAAATATACGAGGGTTGAAATGGGAGCTCACACACCCTCACCCTCACCCTCACACACACAAATTGAATACGTTTATTTCGGATCTATAGGGGAAATTAAGAGCTAAAATTCATCCAATCCAAAAACAGCGAATGCTTCTCCTGTACTTTAAATACGTTAAAATTCAAGCAATTTATGAGCTTAGGCTATTAAAATTCCGATAATTCTGCACGACATGTTTTATTCTGGACGGTGGCGTCGGTGGCGCTCGTATTTTTCTTCTTCTTTTTCTTCGCATTGTTTAGTGGGTGGAGGTACATATGACGTCATACCCAAAATGACTATTCTACTCAACTTCCCTCCATCCAAGAACTGAGTGTTGGATTAGGCTTAGTATGCTTACAGAAAAATGTTTCATCTAATATTTCCCGGTAAGGCTCACTTTTTATATAAGCTGGAATTCCTCATAAATCAACCAACATGAAGTTTGCGCAAGAAGTGTATATTTTTCTACGAAAAACACAGAAGTATCGCGCATTCTTTCCAAATCATCTCAAGAACTAAAATAAAAAAAGTAATCACTGTCCCGGTGTTTGGTTTTTAAGTTAGGGTCAAGGACCCACAATTATCAATGTAATCCTAGCTCTAGTCATTTGTGAACTAGCCCCTAAATTAATATTTCTCAATACACGTGTGTGGTTGAAATTATTTATAAAGATTTGAAAAAAAAATAATAATTTTTTTTAAAACATTTTAATTGAGGGTGTTTGATGGGTTCAGGTGCAACTCAAGAATCAGTTGAACTCTCCATGTGGAGGAAAGACTACATAGAATTACAGGGTTGTCACTTTGTGTTACTCTGAATTTTTAAACACTCGTTCAATGATATTCATGGATGATGCCAAATTTTTTGGTTAGCTTTTCTTGTGAATATGTAAAAAATAATCGAAGATTTACGCGGAGATCCGCACTTTACGACCTCAGAATTTGACATGTCAAGATGGTCATTTTTAGCATGGAGTTATGAATTTTGTGCTTTGCTCATGCCGAAATACGCCGACAAAATCTGGTTTGCAAGAAATAAAAATTGACAGTTCGGAGTAGTGTTATATGTGTGAGAAAATTCAAATTTTGAGTAACCTAGTTGGTAACGCACTTTGCTTTGACACTAGTTGCAATTATTTCAATTTACAGGACCGAAAATTTTTCCCCCTAAAATTCATGCTGAAAATGATTTTTGAGCTTCGAAAAGTTTTTATGCCGTTTGTCCTTATTAAATCGTCAAAAAATCTAAAATGAAAAGGTCAATTAAAAGTCATATTTTGCGTTGACATCACTCAGTCGTCGCTTAGGAATTAAAGGAGGCGAGGTTTGAGTTTCATGACTGCGTACCCTCATTATTCAAGGCATGTTCTATTACTAAATTTTTTGTAGGCGTGAGTGTGTTTGTTTCCCTCATAACATTCTTTCTGAGATCCGGTACGGATTTATTTTCCCCTACACGTAAATTACCTTCGCAGCGAATTTCTGTTTCGCCTACCAAGAGTGAGTTTTCAGTTGTGATGCTCACCCTCTCTATAAAGATTGAAAACATCTTGATGGGTCTAAGTGTCTGTTGCTTTCAGGACTTAGGCGGTGTTGAAAAATCACTACGCATTGTTACAGCGATTCTTAGACCCCTCCCGACCTCTCGATTTCACCCTCTTTTATACTTGAAGCAAATATCGGTCGAGCGGGCCATATACTATAACATTTAGTTACAGTAAACAAACCAATCGTATCACAAACTAATCACGGTAGGTACTTACTCACCTTTCAGTGAACTGACGGTGAATTTTCTTTTAAGTGTGATGAGGTGACTAACCCAATTTTGCGGCCAAAGATTACATGACACTTAACAGTTTTCCTTCTAATCTCCTCCATGCTTACATTTAACTCGATTGAATTGTTCACAGTAATGAGATTTTTGTAAGTTGTGTGGATATACTTCATTTTAATGCATTGGCGGATCCAGCAATTTGGCAACACCGGATTTCCTCCATTTAAACCTATGAAAAAGTATCGATTCTTGGAGGGGCCAGGTGCTCGACAAGAATAGATTATTTAGCATAGGTTTAAATGGAGGAAATCCGTTGTTGCCATATTGCTGGATCCGCCTCTTTTGAAGGTGGAAGTCCGCAACAACGTATCTCGGTTTGCGACATGGCAGACTTCCTGTCATACTTAATTTTTTACACGGAAAACTACTCAACAGCATTTCTCAAAAACTGCCGTGATTTTTTTTTCTCTGTTAGAGGATAATTCTATGAAAATTTCAACCACTGATGTTGATTTGTTCTTCTTTAACAAAATGAAACAGGAAAAAAGATTTTCAAACATCGCAAACTAAATACATGGTTGCGGACTTACACCGTCGATTTCTTCTACTAATCTATGAGATTCAACTGTCAGAACATGATGTTGTGACTGGAACATCTGGGCAGTAAAAAGGGACTGACTATTTTAAGAAAGAATATGTCTGTTCGGTGAAATTCTTTTGCAAGGTTCCATAGCTACCTCCTCGGGAAACATATATTCAATGTCAACATCATAGTTTGTAAAATTGTTATTGATCTCCTTATCTCTAAAGAATGAATTTGGAAAAACGTTATTTATTTAGTGCTGTCAGGTATTCAAAATTCAATGACACGATTTTTTGTTTAAAACTGTCGATAGATTTTGGATTTGGGAGGCAATGAGACGCCTACCAATGGTGAAAACTTAATTTTTTGGGAAGAATTTCATGATTCAAACTTCAGGCCGCTTGTCAAATTTTCGTTTACTCATGGGCAGCCCAAACTTTAAAGAAATTTTGGGTCGGATATCCTACGTTTTACAAATGACGCTTCCCTTAGCCAAAAAAACTCCCTCAATTTAAAGAATTTTATTTTGCATCTTTGGGGAATTTTGCTACTTATTGTCAGTTCCTTTTTGTTCATTGGGTAAAAAAGCTACTTCAATTCACAGGAGTTACGCCGACATCTTTCGTTACTGTACTTAATATCACTGTACTTGAGTACCGCAATTCATTAGGTAACAAGATATTCTGGTTTTCGGCTATTCATAATGATGAAAACAATAGTTGAGCAATTAGCCGATTTTTTTTTTTAAAAAAAAGTGTAAAAAAATGTTTTGTAAAATTGACTAAAAGCTCAACTTTTGTTTTCGTAATTCATTAAGAGATGGAAGGACGTATTAGTTTACACTGTCTCCTATCGAGAATTCTACCAACCAACTAACCGAAAGTCCCTTTGTTTCTCAAAACACCTAATTCTCTTTC